AGTGATTCTTAAGCCCTCGTTTCACCCATACTGGGAGCTCGTGCTTCCCCCATACCACCGATGCTACTGCCTTGCTACCACTCTTTCTTCTCTATAAGGATTACCTTATTTCTACAATAAAGCTAACTTTGAACAATTCCTAAGGTTTATTTCCTTCTTTTGTAGAAAATCCACTAAATTCATTCCGTAAGTCATCTCAAGGACATCCAATTATCCTACCCTGTTCAAAAAAAGGACAATCAGAAGTCATAAACACTGATCTGTTGATAGTGCCACGTGAGCGACAGACTAATTCACCTATCACCTGTATCACCTGTCGTCCCATTGATCGTCGAGTGACTCGAGCGGGTACCAGCAACACTTCCATTTTCCTTATCGCATGCAAGACTAGCCCAGTGGGTCCTCCTCGCTCCCGCTCCAGAGATTCGCTGAGCATCATAACTTTCTTCTAAGCCTTTCCTGAAGAAATCGGACCATCGAGTCAGTGGTCTTCCTGTAGAGCGCTTGATATCCCGAGGAATTCAGTCGGTAACGGCTCTCGTCCATCGACAGACTAATTACACGTAACAAATTTGAAATATTTACCATAAAATATAATTTTTGTACTATTGGCAATGATGGAATATGAGAGTTACTATAGCAACACTGCTACAACTTTTCAAGACTCCATTCGGTCTTGAAAACAAACCAAAAAGACCGAATAGTCTTTAAAACTCATTGATAACTCAGGATTCATAAGAAACTGAGTCTATCCATGGCTCATGCCTTCATAAAGAATGCTATGTGATGTAAAGAAAATGAACTTGAATCGTTGACTCTCTAGCGAAAAAAAAAAACGATGTTATGCGATATGCAATAGTCTCGACTCCAGACGTGAGTTGAACCCGCGTTTTCAAACGTATTGAGGGAGCATGCTACCTCTACACCACGAAGGTCATCACTCTGCTATCATCTCTTCAATGTAGGAGATTGCAAGTGTCAGAAACCAACTGTTCACGGGTTCGATCTGGTAAGTACATGTAGGTATTAAACCCACTTGATTCTCCTCAATTTAACTGAATCACTTCAGAATATAACACTCCACTGAACCTTTCAATCCTTCGATGCAGAATTCACTCAAATAGTCGACAACATTGACGTCTTGAGCTCATAGACACTCATAGGCAGATATGACCACCAATTATTGAGAGAAAATCCTACTCGTTCATCGCCTATTGTGGGCAAAAAAGACAAAAAAAATCCTAGATTGAGTGGGCAACTGCGCTGAGGTAAGGTGGAAAATTGTGTCGCAATTCATTGCGTCTCCTCGTCATCACCTGCCGACGCGAAAAAAGATCTTTCAAGCTAGTAAAAGTCAAACTATGGAAGTAAAAGTCCAAGCCAATAGATTGTTGGATTCAGCGAAAATTGTACATTCAACGCAAAACGTTCAAGACACATAAAGGATAAAGGATAAAGCTCTCGGCGTTGATCAATCCCTGAGGAATACGCCATGCATTCGACTTCAATTTTTAACTTCGTTTGAGGTGATTGAATGCACATGTGGCCTTTACAATGATTCGCGGTGGCCTCCCGCTGAAGCGAGTCAGTGCTGCTTATCCTCCTAGACTAATCTGAGACCTCCTGGTACCAAGTATTACCGACCCCGAAGGGATGGATGGCTTGGTGAGCCATGAGCGCGAGATCGAAACCACTAACCTCATGTGCGACGCAGAGCACCTCTAACCACTGCGCCACATGCTCCAATCTTGATAGTATTCGCGTCTGTCAAGACACATATGTACTGAAATTAGTGCGCACGGTTTTGAAAGGCTCAGACGTCCAACTAATGCCGATTTCGATAAATCGCTACAACGAAACGACTATGCACCGGAAACGTGAGCTCATGTCCGTGGGGGTGAGGGGCATGTTCCTCTTCTTGATCGCATTTCAAAATTATTTCGATGGGGAATACACAGTTCATTTGAGGATTCCCCAATACTAATGGTGGTTTATGCACTGCTGAAATGTTGTTAATGATGTATTACTTGCTGTTTAATTCATATTTACTTTAGCCAGTTGACTTCCACGGACCCCAAACTGAGCTTGGCCGCCTGCCGATTAGTGGCCGACTACAGTACCACTTTTCGTTGCAGGACCCGCACCTAAGTTGTGGACTGAATCGTGTGCGGTCTTGCAAAGAAAAATAATACTGTAGTCGGCGAATAATCGGGGCAGAGGAGGTGGAGTCGTTCCCATGTTGGTGGGCACGCCCAGTTTCGGTCAGCGGAAGTCAAACCGGTTAGACCATGGAAAGGATATTACTTGCCGCTTGAGATTTTTTTACGGTCGACGACACATGACTGTCATTTGTGATATACCCCCTGTCCCTTATTCGACTGTGTTTTACAACCACGTATTTTAAAAACTTCAATATATCCAAAGCAGCCGTGGGGCGTGTGGTTCCGATGAGGCGTAAGTCACTGACATAACAAATCTCAAAAAACGCTAAATCAACCTTTCTGAATATACCGAAGTTTTTAGAAACGAGGTTTTAGAACATAGTAGAGAAAGGGATATTCTACACTCGTTCGCCATTCGTCAAAAGTAAAATTAAGTGCGCTTTAGGATCCACATCAATTGTGCACAATCGCTCGTCCTTGTTGTGGATCTTAGCCTTCGTTGTCGCTTCACGATTTCACTAGAACGACAACGAAGACGAAGATCACAACGAGGGACGAACGACTGTGGGCTATCGACTCGAATCATCGGCTCTGAAGAAGACAAGGACGTCGAAACGTTAGCCGAATATCACTTATTCATCTAAGAAGACTGAGTAATTTGCAAAATTCGATCTCAAGCAGAAGTTGAACCCGCGTTCCACACTTGTCGGGGGTCCGTGGTGCCATTATATCACCAAAGCCATCGTTGTGCCATCACTACTTTTTCCATGACGGTTATAACCTATATACAAGCCTCGTGTACTAGCTAAATCACGAAGAAGGCTATCATCGATCAGAAGTCGGTTTTCAAGATACGCAATTTGTAAGAGAATCGAGTGGTGGGCAAAAACGACCTCACACGGGAATTGAATCCGCGTTTCATCCATACGGGAACGTGTGCCCTCTACATCGTCCATATGGATGAGGACGCGGGTTCACTACCGTCTGAGGTCGAATTTTTGCTTACCACTCGATCCTTAGGTTTATTTGAAACATCGTCACACTGAGAAAAAGCAGTAGGAAACACAAGAAATCTTGTGACGCACAAAGCGCTTGAGAAAACTTGCTAACCTTGCTTTCCGTGACGTCGGAGGCATTGTAGCAGTGGGATGCCGTCGATTTTCTTGCGAAGAGTTGTAATGCACTGTCAGTAATGCTCAGTTCATCCGCTGAAGTACCAGCACCTTCTTCAGCCTCCAGCCGTAATGCCTTCGCCAACGATTGAATAGCATCCGCCGTCTCGTCACATGTTCTCCTTTTTCGACCCTAAAAAATGTTCAATCAGATCAAAAACGGAGGTAACAGATCGGACTTGTTGAAGTGTAGATCACATAGATTTATATACTCAACATACACCGCTGCATGGCTCCTTGTACGATCTATGACTTGAAGATCATCCTATGGACGACTACCGGGAGTATATCTAATTACTTTCATTTTTCTGTTTGATCCGTCTTCGCGGTGGTATATTTCTTCACTGTGCGGATTCCAGTGCTTCTAGCTTTCATTTCGCCCTTTCGTGTCCTTCTTGGACGTCGTAGAATGCTAGCTGAGCGGGACTTTATAATCTCGAGGATAGCATGGCTATAGCGTTTCATGGAGCGGCAGTTGCTCACCGCAGGAGGGTTGGGGATGGGGTTCGCCCCGTGCGCGCTGCGACAAACATAACAACCACTCGGCCACAGCGCCGCCCAGCACATATGAAGCATTTAATGGTAAGGATCTCGTATAACATGATATTAACGAGTTTTCACCATGTATAACACTCCACCCTCCTAGAAAATCACATTGGTGGTGGTCTAGCCTTAAAAAGGTCTCAAGGCATGCCTGAAAAGCCAAGAAAGGAAACTTGCCAATATCTCTCACACTTGATATAGAGGAAATCTGACAGTTTCTCTCAACATTTGACGCTCAGAATGCGTTGGACCCGCGTCTCACCCTCCCAGAGGTTCCAGTGTTCATGGATCACTCTCACTCAATATATTTTGATATATAGATATAACCTGATAATAGAGCATATAAGGTGGGCCGGACACGTGATGCGCTTCAACGACAACCGACGGACGAGAGCCGTTACTGACTGGATTCCTGACGACATCAAGCGCTCTAAAGGAAGACCACTGACCCGTTGGTCCGATTTCTTCACGAAAGCGATAGAAGAAAGATATGACGCTCAGAAAAAATCCCTAGAGCGAGGAGGACCACTGGGTTACCCTTGCACGCGAAAGGGAAAAATGGACGAGTTGCTGGTACCCGCTCGAGTCACTCGACGATCAACGGGACGACAGGTGATACAGGTGATATAGATATGACCTTATCACACTGCTATAAAATAAAGGATAAAGCTCTCGGCGTTAATCAGACCCTGAGGGATGCGCCATGCATTCGACTTCAATTTTTAACTTCGTTTGAGGTGATGGAATGCATATCTGGCCTTTATAATGACTCGCGGTGGCCTCCCGCTGAAGCGAGTCAGTGCTGCCTATCCCAGACAAGTCTGTTACCAGTCTGGTACCAATTTACCGACCACGGAGGGATGGACGGCTTGGTGAGCCATGAGCGCGAGATCGAACCAGTGACCTCGTGTGCGACGCAGGGCACCTCTAACCACTGCGCCACATGCGCTCTATCATACTGCTATAACGGGGTGAGATAAGAAGCACTGTTGTATCGCAGAGTAGTGATAGCAGATTAGGACCCTCGCTAGCGCAGCAGGTTACCACGCGTTCGCGGAAATGGTGAGATGCGGGTTTGATTCTGGTGCGAACCCAATAATGTAGGGTGGTGTGCAAAGACGTTTGCGTCAGCTGGGACTCGAACCAAGGTTCCACACTTTACGGGAGCGCGTGCTGAACCGTTGCACCAGCGACGCTCGTTTCGCACACCACTCTTTCTTTCTACGCTACAACGCGTTATCTGTCAATAGGCAACCGTCTAGGGTCTGGCGTGAGCAGTCACTTATCGACATAACTATTGTTCACTGTACGGTTTTGAACTTTTCACGAGCGTCGGTAGTGCAACGGTTCAGCACGCGCTCCCGGAAAGACTGGAATCTGGGTTTGAGTCCCAGCTGACCAAACGTTTTTGCACACCACTCTACATCATTGGGTTTACTGTAATATCATAACACCGCAATAGGCGGTCAAATAAAATGAATAAAAAATTGATTCTTATCCGAGCTCCAAAGTTCTGCATATCTTTGACGCTGTATTGATCCGTTTTTACAATTTTTTTAACAGGAGGATGGGAGGGGATCCCAGTACTTCTGACATTCAATTCCTTTTTTCGTCTTCTTTCTGAAACGTCGTAGAATACTGATTGAGCGCGTGTCATTGCAATCTAGAGGATAGCCTGGCTGTGGCGTCCCAAAGGGCGTTGTTCTTGACTGCCGAAGATAGTTCGGGATGGATCTCAGCCCCATGCGCGCCGCAACGAGCATCACAACCACTTGGCCACAGCACCTCTATTCAACATATATCAGTTTTTTAATTCTTATAGTTTTCCATATCTTTTTGACTTCTATATATCTTGCGACTAGTGTCACGACAAGTCAAAAAAAACGCTTTAGCCAAAGAAAAACAAACAAATAAAGCAAACATCACCACGACCCAAGAAATTTTTTTTTGTTCGTCAAATCGGTTGGGTACCGAACCAAATTCGTGGGTTTCCCACTAACTTTCGTATAAATCACAAGATCGACTATCGCCGTTAGAAACAAAATTCAACGACAAATCTGACAAGGCCAAGAAGAAGATCGTGCCAATATCTTTTACTCTTAATCTAAAAGAAAACCAGAGTGATAGTAGAACGAGGAACTTCTGTAGTGTAGTGGTTAGTACGCGCCTTCCGTATGGATGAGACGCGGGTTCGACTCCCAGCCGAGGCTAAGTATTTTGCATGTAGCTCAACATTCTTGGCTATATGGAGTCAAAAATCATGGCAGTTTAGTAAAGTGATAAAATAAAAATTCCTATTGATTACGGACATTTCAACAGTTTTCTTAAACTTTTTTTCTGATAATTGCATATGTTCAGAGTTCAGTGTTATCACAAGCAATCATCAGCCGCTCTAACAAGAGAAAAAAAAACAAATAAATAAGGTAAATACAATTTGAATTAAATTTATTTTTGCGCGTCAATTCGGTTGTATGTAGTGTAGATTCATTGCGGACAACCAATTGCATGTGCCAGGAATTTCATTGTCACCTAGTGCAGGCGAGATGAGTTGTCGCTGTCGCTAGTCGGAATTCCGCTGCTGTGCTCGGATGTGAAGTTCTCGGATGGAATTCCGTCTCAGTTGAAGTTCATGCGGCTGGAAAAGTGTACCAAGGATGTCGAGGAACGTTTGACCTAGCCGGGAGTCGAACCCAGGTCTCGTCCATATCGGGAATTCCCACTACCACTACACCCACCGAGGACACCGCTCTGCTACCACTCTTTTTTCCATGGGTTCGAGAACTTTTCAACTGATTGCAGCAATTGCTTCGATACTAACAAGTGTGTTCGTCTGTGTTTGAAAGCCAAGTCATATTTCATCTGAGAGAAAGACAAGGAGAGAGAGAGAAGCTTGTGAACTTACCTTCGGATCGCTGCTGGTTTGTTCTTGTCGGAGGACGTGCTTCTTAACGGATTCATGCGTCGGACCACTCCAACCTCAATTTTATTCGTTGGATATCTGGACAGTTCAAGGGTGGTCGAGTAAACGAAGACGTGAAGACGAGAGGATAAGAGAATTTAGCGAAGATCTGAAGGGGTCAATGGGCCGAAATCTCGAAGAAAACCCCGGGGTTTTGAAGGCGAGCGACACTGGGGAGGCTTCGGATGAGACAGAAATCGAATGAGAAAGAGAGAAAGGGTGGACGAGACATGTGTATATGTGTGTGTGTGTGCCTGTGTGCTTCTACTAACACCCTCTCACGATTCGTTCTCGTCGTCTCTGGCACTCCTCATCGACAACGACGTCTCAACGCCCGCTTTTTCTTTCTCGTCCCTCTACACTGTTCGGCCATCGACGAGAGAGTGTGCGATGGGACGAGACGGCAGACGTGAAGACAGAAAAGAGTGCTCGTGGAAACGGACGGGAAGGTGGTGCACAGACACAGCCAGGGAGACGGACGGAAAGCAGGGGAGAGCTAGTCGATACGAGTCATATGCTCTCCTCATTCTCTCAACTCTCCCTCCCTCTTTTTCTCTTTCTCTCTCTCCCTCCCTACGTTCCTCTCCATCTCTGTCATCGTCGCCTCTGGAAGAGATGGACGTGGAGGAAAACATACCATTTTCTCTAACAGGGACTATATTGCTTGACTTAACACTTCCGTTTTGCTGAAGAGGCATTAGCAAATCAGAGTTCTTTAAAGTGTTTACAGAGTCCAAGGATGCTGAACGATATACAAAGTTTTTAGTCTTAGGTGGGAGTTGAACTCGTGATTCATCCATACTCAAAGCGAGCGCTACCACTGGGCCACCGAGGCCACCGCTCCAATATCACTCTTTCTTCTATATCAAACATCGCAGCTATTTTCAAAACTTTGCAGACTAACAGCAAAATTTTCCTATACGCTTCTCACCTCTATCAAGCCCACCTGCTGATAAGTTCTCTGTGATCTGCATTTTTCGCGTTTCCTTCTTGGACGTTCAGGAGTATCCAGAATAGTCGGTCCGGAAGTCGTATCCGTCATCGAGTGAATTTATGACGACTCCGACATGACTAGTAGTTACAAGTTAATGAAGGGAAGTCTGAGCTGTCAATACGAGTCATTACATCAGATCTGTTCAGTTTCAAGATTTCAGGAATTCATGAGCAGAGATTTATGAAGTATCAAAGCAGACTGCTAATGTCTACATGAGTTGAATCTGTTCACGATTATTCAGGAAGGCTAATTTAGCCGTTTTCGAGGTCTTGTTACGCCAATGGGAGACGTATGTTTCTCGCCTCGTCAGTATCATACAACCCCACTAGCCACCCCAAATAGTAGGAAGGAGAAGGCGCATAAGGATAAAACTAGATGAAATGAAATCCTGTGTCTTTTTCCAGTCGATGGCACGTGGCTGTCATTTATGAGAGTAACATTATACCTTATTTCGAATGATTTTCCACAAAGAAAAACTCGAGCAAGATTTCACTTTGCCAGGTCTTATCATTCTGCGTTTCCCCTTCGCTACTTTGTAGGTGGACTAGTGTGGCGTGTGGTACTGACGAGGCGAGCGAAATCGCCGAAACATACTTATACCATTGGCGTAATGAAACCTCGAAAACGGTCAGGTCAGCATCCTAGAATATGACGAAGTTCTCAAAAAAAGAGTTTTTCAAAAATAAACGAAATAAAGGATATTCATAAATTGTTCTGACAAGACACTGAAAGCATTTCTATTTTCCATTTTGAAGCACTTCGCTGTATGATCTACATAAGTCTACGTTCTCCTCGTAGGCATATCATCATTACCTTTTTGTATAGGCTCAAAGGATAAAGCTTTTGTCGTTGATCAAAACCTGAAGGATACGGCACACATTCTATCTCATTGTAGAGCGTTCGCGGTGACTGAATGCATAGCTGGCCTATACAATGACTGGTGATGACTCAGTAATGCATTAAGTTAATACTGCGATCCTCCTGGACAACTTTGATATCAGTTCGCCTACACTGGAGTGATGGAAGTATCAGTGAGTCTAGAGTACGAGATCGAGCCAACGACCATGTGGTTACTGCATAAAAGCTCTAACCACGGCGCTACACCTGGTCCTGCTATGAAACAACCCCATTCAAAGTTCAATATATTTTTATTTCTCACTTATGCCTGCTCATGGACATGCTTGCCTCATCCTTAAAAGATTAATCAATGCCGAGGCTTTATCCTTTATCCTTTACTGCTGCCTCGATTACCCTTAATCTATTCTATTGTCACTAAGAGCCAGCAAGCTATTGTTAACAGCCCTACTATTTAGTCATCTTATTTTCTAAGAAGCGCACTTACTCGGTACAGAGGGAGGCCGCCGCGAGTCATTGCAAAGGCCAGATATGCATGCAATCACCTCAAACGAAGTTGAAAATTGGAGACGAATGCATGGCGCATCTCTCAGGGATTTATCAGCGCCGAGAGCATTATCCCTTGGCTTTTATTTACTAAGATTGTAGTAATTTATTCATCAATGTATCCTCACATACTATGCGGCTCTCAATATTTCCATCATCGTTCTGTTGTCATGTGTCAAAGTATTTTAGATGATGTTCGCCTTCGCCTTTGAGTCCACCTGCAGCTTGTGAATCTTGCCGCATTTTGAATTTCGTCTATTGCCGGTTGAGCGTAATCCATGAACGTTCGAAGGTCACACATAGGACAATCACCGGCTTCTATGAGTTGCACGGGCGCTTCTCACTTATAAGTCTGCTACCAGTCTACTGACATTACAAAAGTGGGTCTAGTTGGCTCAATGCGGATTTCTAAAAACAACCATACGTACTTTCATTTCACTGCCCATTCAGCGTTTTTGTCGCCTATCGGCGCGTGTAAAACGTTCGTCGTCGACTCCTCAATATAAAGGGTAGATCCCCGAGGAATTGACTGAAGGAAAAAGCACCGTGCAACTGACGAGAGTGCAAGGCCGAAACACGTGTATTGCAATTTATATTTGCTCATAACAGACCACATGTATGGCTCAAAAATAACTATCAGCCATACGTGCTATTGATTATTCACCAGTTCAATTATTGATTGACAGAAATCTGAGTGTTAAGGAGGTGCTTGTTCATCAGTTTCCACACAATCTATCTATGAACACGTTACTGGTTCTAACTCTTATTCTCACAATTCCCCGCTGATTTTCGTCGTGCTGAACAAAGTTTTATTTACAGTTTACAATCAAAAATCTTAACGATTTACACCGTCGTCGCTTTTTGTATAGGGAAATCTAAACAATCGTTGCTTATATGTGCCGAAACCTGTACCTCGGTAGCTAATGTAGCAGATCTGTAGTGGTCTTTTGCTATTAAGTCTTCTCATAATTTTGGCACCAAGAGCAATGAACTCCAAATTTATTAACACGTTGGCAACGACGTTGAAATGAAATAATATCCATATTTCATTAGAAAAACTATCACAACGTCCACTGCTGCCCGTCGCGTATGTGGCGGCAGCAGTGACGTTGTGATAGTTTTCTAATGAAATATGGATATTCGACGTTACTAAAAGAAGTTTCACAGTAAATGATCAAATATGAAAGAAGGGACATTTCATGAAATTTCTTGTGGTAGGTACAATGGGCGAAGCTTTGAATCTTGAGAGATATATATTCATCAACAACAACTTATCTTCATACAAAACCACAAATGAATTTCAATTGAATGAAAAGAAAATGAATAAATGAACCATAAAACTTCTTGTGCGCCTAAGAACAAGTGGTGAGTCATGACACTAAGAGCACTAATTCCTGTACCCTACGTATTTCTTTCCATTAGATTTTTCTCAGGACAATTTTTTGTACCCCTTCAGTTTCCATTTCCGCGATTCACCTCAACAAGATCATGCAAGTGATGTACGAGGTTCATAAACACATGAGAGACATGGGCCAAACCGTCCTTTCGATATCGGACTAGCTGCATGAGAAATAAACATGATTTTTTGTTGTTATTATATTTATATATATATATATATATATTATATATATATATATATATATATATATATATATATAATATATATAAATCTGCCACAAGAATGTGGTATATTGCTGTGGAAGTTGTTATACATTCTATGCAAGATGTCCTATATGTATAGAATTCTTAGCAGACTATTGTATTGCCGATAATTAGAAGTGTTTCACGAAAGTTTGCCTAATAAATTTTCGAGTAAAGGTTATCAACAGCGGTTACATCTAGAACATCAGCTGGGTAGCTCAAACAAAGTGCTTGTGAGGATAAAACAATGAATCTCATTCCATCGCATAGATCGATAGTGTTTTGCAACATCCTTACCACCCTTCTTGCATCGATACATTGTTTATTAAATAACACTATCTAGATCGTTTTTGCTCTTAACTTCCACAAAGATGTCATTCATGATGTAGGTTTATTGCCGCTTTACTTCAGTGGCACTTTGTTCGCATTATCTCTGTAATTCCAACTTTTAGTAATGTCGAATCTGAAGCGGAAGAACGGCGAACCGGCGTGAAAAGCTTGTTCAGAAATAGCAACGAGGAGGATCTATATGAAGATAATGACGTCAGCGGGAAAGAGGACTTGGTCTTCTCAAATATTACTATTGAAGACAGCGGCTCAGATGGCAAAGAGGAAAATACACCGTCTAATGCAAGAACAGCCACTGGCTGGTCATGGAGCTTAGTCTCGCCCACGAGGGAACTTTTTGATTGAGGTCATGATGGTGCTCACAATTTGGCATTGCTCCGGCCTGAGAGTCCAGTAAAAATTTGTGAACTGTTCATGAAGGACGTTTAGAGGTTGATTGTTGAGCAGACAAATGTAATGGCGTCACAAAAAAAAGAAAGGATAGAAAGACACAACGATTAAAGAAGTGAAGATATTTTTAGGCTTGTGCTTCAAAATGAGCATTATACGATTGCTAAGGCTCTACGATTAGTGGAGCAATAGTCCGCATCTTTAGGGAGTCTCCATAGCGTCGCATCTTATGTCGAGGGATCGCTTCTTCGAGGTCATGACCCACTTGCATGTAAGCAACAATATGGGTCACGATGTGATTGACAAGTCATACAAAATAAAACCAATGCTGAAACTTCTCAATAAAATTGTAAGGACCCATTCAAACCATGGGAGACGTGTGTATCGATGAGTCGATGGTGCCATTCAGAGACAATTAACTTCCGCCAGTATGCACTTGCAAAGAAACAGATATGGAATAAAGCTATTTAAACTTTGTGGTGAAGGCGGGTACACCTACAAAACGATGGCGTACATAGGTGCTGGCACAAACCCGACACCGAACGAGCCACTTGCAGATTTTGTGGTAAGGATCTAATGAAGGATCTTCTGAATGAAAGAAGGCACCTCTTTGCCGACAACTGGTACTCCAGCGTCGTCCTAGCTGAGAGTCTGCTGCAAAGCAATACATACTTTACCGGAACATGTAGAAAGAGCAGGAAAGGCTTGCCTAAGGAGGTCATGGAAGGAAAACTGCGCAAGGGCGAGTGGAAAGCCATGCAGAATCAAAAGCGTTATGTTCTGCGATTCAGCAAAGAGACGTCACAATGCTTTCAACAGCTCACGGCACTGCCAAAAATCCATGCACGGACAAGTTTGAAGTAGTCGAGATGTACAATAGGAGAAAGTCGCTGGTGGACCAGACTGACCAGATAGCTGCCATATCACCATTCCTCAGGAGGACTTATAAATGGTGAGAGTATTTCGCTCGTTCTCACCTTCGTAATTTGCAATTTCGTACTCTCGGTATGTACGTCTACTATTCCACGTCATCACGCACATACTTCTCAAAAATTTATGGACACTACACCGAACCTTCGTAGAAAATATTCAATTCAACATGTTCGAGGCGGAGACTAGGTCAGCTAATTAGAACGACTCAATCCTCCTACCCCTAGATCTGGCCACGTCCTCAAAAGGCGTCTCCCAGGAAGGGTAGACGCTGCATCGAGTGCTATAGAAACGCGGTGAATAAGAATTTAGGTTTATAGCTTTAGATCATGCTAATTAAACACGTACTAGGTGCAGTCAGTGTAAAAGCCACTTTTATTCGGAATGTTATAATGCTACTCATGAAATTTGTGATCTCAAACGTTTTAGACTTAGATAAACTATCTGGGAAGTACTGTATTTTAATTGGGCCAAATTACTGTATCATTGTTGTTATTATGTCATATGTATATATGACATACGTATATGTGACAAATATGTGTTTGCACATGCATGCAAGTACATATATATATATATATATATATATATATATATATATATATATATTTGTACGTTATACGTATGTTGATTGTTTAATGAACAAGGTAAATAGATTCACATAATCCACAAGAATCCACACAATTTTTGATGGTCAGAGAAGATTTGAAATGACTTGGCGTTGTTTCTACTAAAAGTACGTTTAGAGAAATCTCTCTGACGATGAACTATCTTTCTTAGCAATAAACTTTGCATACAATCAAAGTTTATTGCTAGGGAAGATAGTAAAAAAATTTATTTGTAAAGTTGAAACAACGCATCGTAAGAGCGAAACGTCAATCTTCTCCATCAGTATAACGTAGTACTGAGGTTCTTTCAGAAACCAGGCTTGCCACCAAAGCGGCGTTATTCAGGTTATCGAATGACTAATAAAAACATCATTGAATCAGGAAAAAAGAAGTTATATGGAATCAGAAAAACGATTTCCTTGTGGGAAGCGGTTTTTTCGTTGAAACGTAGAAGATTTTTTGAACATTCTCTCTAATATAAACCCTTTATAGGAGCCTTTTCTATAACATTTCTTTATTTTGCATCACAACTATTATTCTGCATCGATAGTTATTTTAGAATCAAAATTTTACTTTGCAAAGCCCAGAAATATTGTGAAGTTGATAAAAAACGAAGTCTGACCGTAAAACGTGTCCTTTTTCGTTGTAGAACGGGCTATAAAGATCTTCTCACAAAACAAACATAGTGGGAGATGGAAAAGTACGGGTAAAAAGAAAGAAACTAAGTTACATAACAGCTGGAAATAAGTTCCCTTTCACAATAAGTGCTTTTCCCGTTGAAATCTTGAGTGGTTTTTCGATACATGGGCATTTCCTTGATATATAAAACTTTTATCGAAGTATCTCTTGTTACAAACCAATATTTCATCACGATAATATCCCCTCAGTACCTCAATTATCAAACAAACTACCATATTCCCAATGCAAAGCGTGATAATACACTCTCCGCCCAGTCGCGCCTCCCCGCCGTACACGTGGGTCCAACGTGTTAACCAGACTTGAATAGAACTGCTTAACAACACTATTCAAAGTACGTGCTATCATCCTGAGCACATTTCTGCCATCTCTCCGGCAACATATCAATACCGCGCTCATTAAACTCGTCATCCTTAGATTCAAAGAAGGTTGTCAAATGCCGACGCAAATGGTTGATTTTTCGTAACTTCTTCCTGCTCAAGAAGTGCTCCAGCGAGTAAGAGGTGACAGTCACAGGGTGAGAAGTCAGGACTGTACGGCGGATGATCCGGCAACTCCCAGCACATTCGGTCAATCTTTTGCAGGAAAGAGTATTTAGTACTAACTTACTATATCATTATCGTTCGTTATTGTTGCTGCGGTTCAATGTTGTTACGTGTATGAATGTTCAATAACCCAAGTTTTAGGTAAATCTAGGAAGCCGGCGTGGCAGAGTATTCTCAGCGACCGCAACAAGATTCAATGAACTGTCACAAAAATTTGATGCATCGGCGTCACTAAGCCTATCCTCTATAAGCCATATAAAATGAGCCGCTGAATGTAGTTATGAATAAGACGTACTTTTAAGGACAATTCTTCTTCACAAATGACAAATCATCTAATTTTTGTTCGATCCCGCGACCAAAGTCCACGAAATCATCCGTTTCTTCAGGGTCGGCAAATTAAGTACCAGATTTGTCAGCACGGATAGGAGCACTGACTTGATACGTCAGTAGGTCACCTCGAGTCATTGTAAAGGCCAGATATGTATCAAATCACAATTCTTTTTATTTGATCGCTTTTTTTGAGTGTTGTGTTAAGATATACCCAATGATGTTGAGTGGTGTGCAAAACTTTAACGTCGGATGGGAATCGAACCCGCATTTCACCCTTTCAGAGGGAGTGTGCTAATCAACTGCACTACCGACGCCTGTTTCGCCCCCACTTTATCCACGCTACAACGCACCCCCGAAAGGGTGAAAAGCAGGCTCGATTTCCGCCGCAACATCAATGAGCATATTTGTATCCATTACTTCTAATGATGTTTAATTCTTTCAGGACTATTGACTCAATCCCCTGCGTCTCTAATCCCTGGCGTGTTGCCTCTGAAAATGGGCGTCTAGCGTCTAACAATGGCACGCTGGGGTCAGACATCATTGTTAGACGCAACACGCTGCGGGTTAGAAACGCAGAGGGTTGGGTCCATAGTCTCGAAAGGGTTAATGCAATCGAATGTATGGCGCATCCTCTGCAACTGATCAACACCATCATCTCCATCTTTTATTTGTCCTTCTATTCCAAAGACCTATAAAGTATAATATCAATTGTGTGTGCTACATGTGAAAGGTGTTCAAGGAAATATACTGACGTAGAAGAGTCGAAATGTGCGATCTAGATAAAAGAAATATGTCACTGTTATGCATATGGGTACTACACGTCTTTGATGACCACTATGACATGCGTATTGCATGTCCATTGGCCATAATATAACTAGGTAAATCAACATTGCAAGAAATTACTGCTATGGACACTCGTCTCAAATCACTGCAACTCTTGCAATGCGATGGCGATGGAAACACCCAGCATGATAAATTGTAAATAAATTCTGTGGGAGCTGAACAGTATGAGGATATTGATTATTTATGCCAAGTTGAATGAAAATCAACCTAAAAATACCGCTTCATTCAATAACGTTCATTACATTTAGCATGGAAGTAAACTGACAAAAAATGAGTTCGGCATTGAACGTAGAAAATTCGTTACTCACATAAACAAGAACCTAACTAGGCTATAGAACTCAATGCTGGTCAGAAACGTCTTGAAAGTTTTCCTAAGACTGTGTGAGGAGAATACCGTGTCAAAATAATGTGTCTACTATATATTCTAATCACTATCTAGTCCACACCCTATTGAGATACAACGCATAGTTTTAGTCAGTACCAATTCCGATATTCACAGATAGTCAAAACCTATGTTTTGAAGTACTCGCTTTCAACACGAGTAACGAAATCCTGCAGATTCGTGTAACTAAGAATGGCATTTTTCAGATCCATACAAGGTAATGTCATAGTGATTATTGTGAAGAGATGACCGAAAAGAAGAGCATCTGCCTCCGTCGGCTGATTGCCAAACAGGAACGGTTTCGCTCCCAGCTGTGAGGACAATGCACGTAACGCCTTGTCGTACTGTTCTAGTACTTCCTCTGTGCTCTAAACTCATGTGGAGTCAGACCGACGTAGTAGAACTAACTTACTTCATAGAAGAAATTTTGTAGAGGACATCGTAATCAGATTTTTTACACGATCAATATTCTAAAGAATGAAAAAAGCCAACTGATGAAATTTGAGCGTGGTCTTAATAAAGCACTCGAAGGAAAGGTATAATATGATAAAAATACCAGCCAGCTAGCAATCGAGTGCGAAAACACTCAGTGTTAGGTGAATGCTTCACCTGATATAGAGTGTAAAGCGTAGGTCGTCGATAACTATATATAAGGAGTGTGACGCTCCCGAGAGAACTAACTATGAAAAGATCGACAGACGACGGGTTCTGCCCGGCTGATGAGTCTGTAAGGACGAAACACGTGTCTCGGGCTGTACAAGAGCCCTTATCAGACCACATGACATGTTGGCTCAAATAATAATGAAAGGAACCAACTGATTATAATTGATGGATTACAGACTAAAATAGTCACTTACACTACCTGGGAGCTTTAATGATTTGGAAGCGTTGGACACAACAACTGAGGGTCTTTGGATTTCTAAATAATGCCCATATTTGACACAGTGCAGGTTTATTTGACGGATCAGGAGCATGTCGTAATTCTTCTGCTACAGAGTTGCATACAGTGCACCTAAGCGATGTCTTCTGATGATCAAGCGACCCTATATCCAAATGGGAGGATGTAATTATCGAAGTTTTGCATCACGTAGAGACTCAAGGCGTAAAGTACCAGTCAAACGAACAAGTTCGGTAAAAGAGATATAGCCACAATCATTAATATCTGGTGAAGATATTGACTGCTTCAATAGTATTTCATCGAACTCCAGATGCTCATTGTAAATATCGTGCAGGAAAATGAAATGCCAGTTCGGTGAAGTGTTCCAAAAGATTGCCTCCGCAAAACTCAAATCAATTTTCGAGCGTCGTGGTGATTCTCGGTGGTATAAACAAAGTTTTTATCGATCACTTTTACCTGTATTTTAGAATTTTTAAATGTTCTTCAAGAGAAAACAGTACGGCGAAACAATGGGATGATGATTTTTTTTTTGGGTTCTAAAAGTAACAAATGAGTAATTTTTGGAGAGTGAACTTTTCATAGGAGTATGAGTAACCATTCGAGATCTTAGACTTCAGGCTAACAGTCCCTTCGAGAACCCTTTTTTGACTTTGCTAAAGGAGGAAATTTCTTGCGTTCTAGACGTACATTATTTCTCGCCGGACAGAGCTCTTTCTTTCGAGTATTAGTGATCATTCGATAACATAATCGTTCACAATTTCAACGTTGTGCTTATTTCCTGTGAAGCCCGTTTCTCTGCAGTGCAACAAGAGAAATAAGATTGATTCACACACGTGGGAAGGTGTTTTCTGGCCATTCCATGGGGTCGTGGAGGAGGGCGAGGGCGCAGATGTGGCCGTTTCCACACGACCATAGATCGGCTTGCGCTTTGGCTGATAGCATATCTCCCTGCTGCACTGCCACAGAAACGATCTTTCCGGAAAACAAACACAGCGTAGGAAATCAGTAAACACTGCGCTATCGAATGCTTCCTAATTGTCCAAAACAGGCTCTCTCCGGCTTGATGTAGAGCATGAATCTTTCCTTTCTCCTAGAGTGCTACCACAAAAAAGCTTTTCCAAAAAACAAACATATTTCGAGTCCTTCGAAACTTATGCTATCGAAAGAGTACTACACTCTTAAGAAGGAGTTTTGTCCAGAGAAATATAAGCGAGATAAGAAAAAAAAATTATAAAAGGTTATTGTGAGAAACTGGCCATGTGAGGTTCTAGGAAAAAAATCTAAGCTTTTGAATGATTACTAACACTCTTAAAAAACTTCTCCGGCAAATGAGGTCGGTTTCATTTGTTCCCTTATAATCAAAAAGAACCAAAATATTCTACACGACAGTAACTACTATGTTTTCACAACAACCACAACTATCAAGAAAAAAGGGTTTCAGGGTATCTCTACACACTTCACTAAGGGACTACGCATGATACGATCTCATAGATTAACGTTAAGTAGCAAGGCAACTAGTCTCCGTAAACCTGTCGTCGATGACATTCACTTGTGAATTCGACAAACGAAAAAAAAAACGTAAATTTCCTCATCGGAACGAAGTGTGACGTTAGAGAGTAAAAATCCCTGCCTAATAAGGAATATAACGTCAGACGATAATGTAAGGAAGTCTACAACATAGGGCTCCAATGTATTAAACTAGATTCTCTTGTGAATCATCACTAACCTCCATCAGTAAGGTGATAGCAATGGAAAAGATTTTTGACCTTGAAAAATATCTATTTCAACTTGCACTTGATTGTTTGTCCCATACACATTAACCCTGACCAAACATCTATCCAAACAAACCACAATTAGCATATTTGCATGTAATATTGCACTCATCCAAATCAACTAAGTTTACTTTAAGAATTCACAAACAATGTGATCACTTGGGTATCTTTTGCGATGAAGATAAACACTTCAAACACTGCTTACCTTATCAGCCCATCCCATATCTTGAAGTTTCTGAAGAATTTCCCTTCGCTTTAGTGCTGGTAGAATCCGATTCAAAGGCACTTATAAACAGAACCATAGCGATATCGAGTAGTTTCGAATATGTATCATTGTGTTTCCACATAACATACATCTACAAAACTTTCACATTAGATATAGAGATTACCTCTTCCATTTTCTAAAAGTAACCATTACTTAAAACCCGACACCTAATTTGATGTTGCTGTCTTATGAAATCGACGCTTGATTTTCTCGTCGCTGGTGGATTGGAGAACAGTTCATGCTGGTCGATCTTTCATACCAACCAACAAATTAGCCCTTCACATGTTCTTTTCTTGTATGTTTGGCCGCATGATTCGACCTTTTCTACGTCTCTTATGAACATTTCATTGTTTTTTGTTTGTAATTTTGTTGTCTTGTGATCCACCAGATGTTATATAGAGCAGCCGCACCAAGTTCTAAACAGGCAAACACCATGAAAGATTCAGTGCGAGTGTTCCTCATAACAACGAATGTACCACAGAACCAAAAACGGCTCGAAGAAGGCAATACCGCCAAAACGTCAGCCATTGTGCTTATACTGTGGACTTAGGTATCTCGACCTTTGACTCTAAAACTTATATAGTCTTCTCCCTTCATTCATTTAACTGAATATTACGGTGAAAACAAAGGGAATTTTTTATGAGAAGGACTAGAATGTTTACGACTAAGTCCGTTACTGATGTTTCAATTAATTTTGGAAATAATATGAGTGTCTACTCCTGCACTCTCATTTAGTAATATCTAGAAGAGAACTACAGAGAATTTAGACGATGTGCTGTGTTGCAAAGCATTAATTAGAATTAAAGTGCATAAATCTACGTTTGCGTTCTGGGGAGGGTTACCACCAGGTGCAGCAAAGATTAGTGCCCCGTAAAAGGTGAAAGGCGGGTTCAACTCCGACCAGAGGTCCAAAGTTTCGCAAATCGCTCATAATTATCGGATATATTTATGTATGAATGACTGAACAACAATGGGATAAAGCTCTCGACGTTGATCAATCCCTGAGGGGTGCGCCATTCACTTGTCTTCAATGTTTAACTTCGTTCGAGGTGGTTGAATGCATATCTGGCCTTTACAGTGACTCGCAGTGGCCTCCCGCTGTATCAGGTCAGCGCTGTTTATCTTTCCAGACAAGTCTGCAACCAATTTACCGA